AATTTTCCTGGCCAGAGATTTTAAATGCTAAATTTGACTGTAAGCTCTAAGTATTCACCATTGTATCCCCAGCATCTAAGAGAACGGTGGTAATACATTCTTGGCGCTCAAATACTTGATAGATGAATGGATGAATAGACGTTTCATCATCTATCCTCTTGCAATCTATTTCTAATTCATCAGATGCTATCATACCACTGCCTATTTCACAAAAGCCTATGGCCACTCTGCTGTATGAACAGAACAAACTCTTTTCAGCCCCTAATATCTTCACTGGATTTCCTCTCTTCCTGCCCCATTCAAGCGTCATCATTTAAGGCACAACTCAAATTTGACATCAACTAACTCAACTACTTGTCTTTACGTCTAAAAAAATGTTTATATCTTTATCCATCCAGCCTTCTATTAATCCTGCCTCTGAAAAAGAATTGAGGGTGTTTTAAAATGCTAACTCATCTTTCTGTGCCTTTGATAACTTTATTTATCTAACATATGTGTACATACATCTTATCTTCCCCGCCGGATTACAAATTCCTTGAGGGAAATCCATGTGCTGTATTTCTCCACAAAACACTGCTAAGTATGTTATCAATAAATATTTGCTAACAAAATTAATTCTCTTTACCTTCCAGGGGGAAAAACAAATCCCATTAATTATTCCACTTTTCTCTCTTAGTTTTTAATCTCTCCACTCCTGGTGATACCTAATCTTTTAAACTTTGATGTTTCCCATTCTAAAAAAAGAAGCTTTTTCTGCATTTTCCAACACTGTCAAATAAGAGTTTAATATTTTCCCTTGCGACCTTAATGAATCTGCCAGAACTGCATACACTTTCTTCTCACCCACGCACTGCTTAAGCCTTGCCGTTATGTTTTTGTCCCTATGACCGATTTCCTTCCTGAAAGGTCCCAGTAACATCTGACTAATAAGTCCAATGGTGTCTTTGTACGCCTTACCCTTGGCCACACTGTGCTCCCAGATGATGCTGACAGTTGTTTCCTTGGCACTTGAGGCAATGCCTAATCCCGGCCTTTTTCTCTCTTTATTCAACATATATTTATTGAGACTTACTATGTACTAGGCATTGAGGATACAATTATGAGCAAAAAGACACAGTGGTCCCTGCCCTCATGGGGCATGGTCTAACCACTGGAAGAGACGATGAAGTCATCAGAAACATATAACTATAAACTGGGGGTGTGCTACGAAGGAAAGTACAGTAGCCCTGACCACAGATAGCTTTCTTCTCTAGCTACTCCTCTGTCTGCTTCTGAGCTCCTTTTCTTTCTCTGGCCTCTAAAATGAGATGTTTCTCAAGGTTCCATCCTTGGCTCTCCTCCTTGCTTTTCTACGAGGACTCTCTCCTTGACAGTCTCATCCACTCCTAGGGCTTCAACTGTAACCTCCTGATGCATGAATCCTAAGCCAATACCTAGTGCTACAGTTTCTACCTTACTGAGCACTGCCACAAATTTCACAGACCCCAAACTCTACAAACTTTTATCTCCTCTTTCGCAGCCCATAAACAAACAAAACTCAATCCTAACAACACACAAATCTGATCTTCTTCCTGAATTCTCTATTTATATTGTTAGTAGCAACCATCTCCCAGTCACAGGCTTAAAATCTAGTCTCATCTTCTCTCCTGTCCCCCCAGGGTCCCAGATATGGTCATGGGACCATCACTTAAAACCCCCAATACCTTCCATCTACCCCTCTCTGGCCTTCAAGGCTCTCAGGCCCTGGCTCCAACTTATCTTTCAGCCTCATCGCCTGATCTCCCAATACTTCAGCTCCAGGCCAAGTTCACTCTTTGTCACTGCGTCTCTTCAGAGCCCTTGCTTATACCATTCCTTCTAGAAGGATTGGTCTCACCCTACCCTCAGACACACATACTAGAATCCATTTCTGTGTCAGAAATGACAATATCAGGCAGGAGTCAAACTGACGGTAAGGCCATGCAGCAAACTGGATAAAATGTTTGTGAGATAATGTTACATAACAAAAGCAAGATATACAATTATTTACAAACAGTTTTTATAATTATGCATATAAAATGTATAAGGGATTACATCAGAATAACAAAAATAGTTTTATTAGAGTGGTGGAATTGTGGATGAGTTTTATCATTTTTCTAGATTCTAAATTTTATTATTGTGTTTTTTAAAATAAATTTTTATTTTAGAACAGTTTTAGATTTACAGAAAATTTGAAAAGATAGTATAGAGAGTGCCTGTATATCCAACACCCAGTTTCCTTTAACAACATCTTACATTAGTAGGATACTTTTGTCACAACTAAATAAGCCAGTAATTTAATGTGGTTTTTTAAAACTTAAAAAAAAACTTGAGTGTGGTAAAACCAAATAATCAACATAAATAGAGGAAAATGTCATTCTTTCCATAACTCCAACTTAGCATCCTAATATTTACTATTCTTCTTATTTTTATTATTACCTCAGTCTCCTCTTGGCATGGATTCTTGGCTACAATCTGGAACAAATTTTGCTTTACAATCATCTGCCATATACTTGTGCATGTATTTTAAAGTAGTTAAAACTTTATTGTTTGATAAAGGCTCTGGGAAATGTTTTCTTTAACATAAAGTACCATAGGAATTTTTTAAACATATGAACCATATTGACGTGTAGAATCTAACGTGTGTGCTGCTTCTCCAAGTCTGTAAGCTCTGCCGGGGGTCTTATCTCCTCTCTGCCCCTCCCGCTTTTTTTAGGTCCAAGAACACCCAGTCCAGATCTGGTCTCAGAGCTCAATAAATACCGGCTGTAATAAACTGTAGGAGTTGGATAGCCCTGGTAGAGGCACTATTGATTTTAAATTACTAAAAGTAAATGGTTCTTTATGTGATTTTGTCTGTCAGACTTTAATTTTTGACACCAAGACATCACAATGTTTTTCCTTTGCATCATTCAAAAAAGCCAACTAAAATTAAATCTCAGTAGAAGTGGATTTTAGTGTTTAAATTATAAAAATCACTAAAACAGCAAATATTAAACATTCTAAAGAACATATTTTCAGCTTGCATTAATGTCTGAGCTAAAGAAAACGGAGTGTGGGGGTTTTTGTTTGTTTTTTTCCAACGATTCTCCTCTAGTGAGTTTTCTTTGTTCTAACTGCCAAGTTGGTTTCAAAGTATCTTTCTGGATATCTAGCAGTTAGAAAAAACCCTATGGATTATACAGAGAAACCACCAACTGAAGTAGCTAGGTACAGTCTACTTTTATAGGAATATAAGACATTCTGTTCTAAAACAGAACAGAAAAATCTCAAATCAGTTTTTTCCCCCTTTTTTTAGTTTATAAATATATTTTCCTCTTTCAGGATAGTCTTTACTTGATGAAGCCAGAATATAACACTAAAATTAGAAAAAATACTGAACAGTGTCCCAATGTATATTCTGTACCTAATCTTAAATGGTTTTGGAAAATGCCTACAAGCAAACTAAACAAACAAGGCAGCATTCTTCTATCTTCAAGGGAATCCATATCATGTCACAATAAATGTAAGAAGCAAAACTTTGTCAAAAAAATAAGGACTGCAAGAAAGAAAAAATTTTCACTTTAGGTTTACTAAAATAGTTTAAATTCAGTCAGTGCCAAAGTCAATAATTAGATTGTAATTTGAAAGAAAATGCTAAGTATCAGGATTAACAAATAAGAATATGATAGTCACAGTAGGTGACTGAAGACCCTCAAGTCAAAGTTAAAAGTAGCACCATTGACAATTTTCAAGAGAGCTGTTTTTATAATTAAAATTGCTTATTTTATCAACGGTTGTATAACTTTGCTTTATTGCAGAAGTGATTTGACTATCCAAGAATATCACTATTTATGATTTATTACAGACTGATGTTTTAAAAGCAAGCCGAAACAAAACTTCAAATTTGTCTTGTTAAAAATTAACTTGGGGACTGGCCCCGTGGCGTAGACGTTAAGTGCGTGTGCTCCGCTACTGGCGGCCCGGGTTCGGATCCCGGGCGCGCACCAACGCACTGTTTCTCCAGCCATGCTGAGGCCGTGTCCCACATACAGCAACTAGAAGGATGTGCAACTATGACATACAACTATCTACTGGGGCTTTGGGGGGAAAAAAAGGAGGAGGATTGGCAATAGATGTTAGCTCAGAGCCGGTCTTCCTCAGCAAAAAAGAGGAGGATTAGCACGGATGTTAGCTCAGGGCGAATCTTCCTCAAAAAAAAAAAAAAAGAAAAGAAAAATTAACTTGGTGTTATGGAAGGAACAGGACCAACCAGCCCATCTTGAGGCAAGACATGCTTTTTGAGATATTTAATGCTCTAAATATAGTTTAGCAGATATGAAGTATCATGCAATTTTGCTAATGAGCTTTGAGTGAGTGAAAAGAGATGTATTGGGCAGTACAAGAAGTAACTGAAGCACACAGTCACCCAAGGAAGCTTCTGGAAGGATGTACCTCAAAAGCTGAACAGCAGAATGACAGGCAATTCTCAATTTTTTTGGTACATTTTTGTCCTGTCTGAAATTTAAAATAACAACCATTCTTTTATAATCAGGAAACAATAAATGTATTTGCTTTTAGGAAAAATAAAAATATGTTAAAAGTTTGACTTCTGATAGCTGAAAGAAGCAAAAGTTTTATAAAAACATTACAAAAATGTTATTAGTATCCAGTTTTGTTGTGGCTTAAAAAAACATTCCTATCCACAGCATATCAAATACATCTGAAAGAAAGCAACCCTCCTTTCTAACTCACTAACACTGATGGTCTGTCTTTGGCATATAGATAAATATTTATTTCAAAGAATGGATTAAAGCTACCATAGTTACTAGAAGTAACTATAGATATGCTACATTACTGGGATGCTTAAAGATCATTCCCAAACTTAATTTATTATCTAAAAATCCTCTTCTTTATTTTTAAAACTCTAGAAGATAATTCTAAAAAATTATAGTTGGATTAGCATGTACTAAGGGTAAAAATATAATTGAAATTATTCTTACCTGATGCTGCACATCAGCATTTGTTGGGCAGTTCAAAGTAATTGGATCACACTCCTCAGCTGGGAGGGGGGAAAAAGACACAAAGCTTGATAAAGAAAGCACACACTCTGTGGTGTAAGGCCTAAAACAAAGATTCAGTATTATGTGCTGCCTTGACATCTGGTAAAATCAGGAGGGCCTCGAATTGTCTAACTGCAAGTTCCCCTCCCCACTCTGCTCCATGGATAAGGCCCCCAGCTAAACAATGTTTCTTATTAAGGGGACCAGGCACAGTTCCTGCTTATTCCTGAGTAGATAGTGGGTTTCAGTTCCCTGCCAGCCCACAGAATTATTCAGACAAGCCAATCACATCCTACCTCAGGAACCAGGAGGCACTACACCCTCTTGACACTACAATGCTTGTCTCCCACAGTGCCTTGCTGTTCACTCTGTTCCTGAGTGCAACCCCCCTGTGACCCAGCATGGCAGCATGGCACATCCTCCCCCAGGCTGTGAGTATATGTGACTCATAAACTGCTGTCGATCTCATCTGTCCCATGTTGGGTGTTGTATGATTGGTCACCCCCATAGCGCCAGGGCAGGATCCCTCCCTCACCAACAGGGTGAATAGAAGGTAGTCAAAACAAATGGCATAATGAACAGGATGGCCCAAACACGACAGAGGACATGTGGTCATATTTAACTAACTTCACTGATGTGGCGAAGGCTGCCTGGGACAGAATTGCCAGTTGCTGGCAGACTTGCACTTTGGCCTGTGAATTGTTGTGTTATCTTTGTTGGGTGTTTGTCCTCTCTTCCCACCTAAAATGTTCTCATCCCCAAGATGAAGACTGTTGTTAACTGATTATACCCCAGTGTGATGTGTTGTCAGGTTTGATCACTGTTTGGCAGGTGCCCCTGAGGATCCCACCTATAAGGATAGTACAGTGCCCTAACTGTTGGGCTAGAGCTCTCTGGGCACTGTGTCTCGCCTGGTGACCATCGCTGGCTAATTGGGGGCTTGGGGGCAACCACATAGACACTGTGCTTTTACATCACTGTGCATTTGTGGGGTTTGCAGGAAAGAAGGAGATCACCACCCCAGGGAGAATTAAGCATGGCGTCCTGGTGGTTGTTGTTGTTTAGGCAAGGGCAGCCACCTTGCCTGTCCCTTGTGCTGTTGCTTCCCTTCCTGCTGTTGCTTCCCTTGCTGCTGTTGCATGTGCTCTCCTGACCCCCAAGGGTATCACGGTGCACATCCATGGCAGCCCGTGGCCCAGGAGCTCACGAAGAAAGAGAAGGGGAGGGAGCATTTGGTACTTGACTGCTCTCCCAATGTCAAACCCCTAGCCAGCACACCTGAGCTGAGTGCAACTGCTTACCAGCACGCCAAAGGTCTAATCTTGCAATCATGGGCTTCATGGCCCCCACCCGGGCCATAAACAAAATGCCCTTCCTGGATGTGCACCCTGACTGGCATTCCCCGAAGGAAGAGGTGGTTGCCTACAAAGTGGGCCACCAGCCTTGCAAACCTCTCTCAGTAACTACCCAGAAAGTCTGCACCATGGATGATCAGACAGAGACAGAAACTGAAAGCTGTGACTTTATGCAGCTAGAAATCCAAAATGTTCTGAGGGACTTTGTGCAGAGAAGGAAAAAAACCCAAAAACCTCGTGTGGCAGAAAAGGCAGGGCTGCAGCAAAGCTCGGTTTCAGTCTATCGACCTCTGGGTTCCAGGCCCAGCGCCATCCCACTGTGCCACTCTGCTGCCTCTGCCTGGGTGCAACAAAGACCCTAATCTCAGAGTTATAGGGCAAAAAGCCATGGTACCCCTGCAGCACAGTGAAAGGGTTAATTCAAACCTGACGTGAGCCTAGGGTTCTAAACCATATGAAAGCAACCATTGCCATAGGGAGGGCCCCCGACCCCGATGGTACTGAGCTGAGGCTCTCTGGAGGAGGAAATTTATAAATATGAGCAGAGTGAGAGGATCCCATCCTTCCCCCCACCACCTGCACCCAAAGTATATCCAGTGACAAAAAAAAAAGGGAGAGAGAATGAAAGAAAGATAGATAGAAACCTGGATACAGAGGAGGAGACAAAAGGAAAAAAAAAGAACCGAAACGAGGTCCACCGTTGGACCCAACTGGAAATCCAAAACTTACAAAATAATTTATACAGTCAACAGATAAAAGAGTGCTGACTGGCTTTGTGCCCTACAACATAGGTTCTGAATTAACTTTAATATCTGCTGAAATGTGTGAACTGGCAAACCCTCATGGACTTAATCAGTCCTGGGGCTCAAATTACAGTTGTACCTGGAGATGCCGCTAAATATAAACATGGTAGCCCCCATCATCTTAGGGGAGTTCCTAAATATAAAATAGAGGACAAACAGGCACGCCTCACCCTAACCATCAGAACTACTGTTTTGCCTAAATTTCCCATGGTCATAGAACCCATTGCGTTAGAGTCTCCCATAGTGGGCATGGTTGCTCTGACCTGATAAATGAAGATTAAATTAAATCTTTAGCAGTTAGAAGTTGACTTGACAAAATGGGACCCTATGGACCCCCCAGTTAAAATAATTAATATGGCCTAATGTAAATAAAACAGGACCTTCAAAGATCGAAACTTATTATATAAGACCTAATGAGTGAAAGGGTGATTATCTCTACTGCTTCTCCATTTAACAGCTTAATTTGGCCTGTTCTTAAACCTGAAAGAAAATGAATGGTGCCTCACAGTGCATTACTGTGACCATAATACTGTGGTCCCATCCATTTAGGCCCCCACACCCAATACCCAATATTATTGAAATTACTGACTTATCCAATCAGCAACTAGTAAATATTTGGCTATTACAGATTTGGCTAATATGTTCTGTTCAGCACCTACTTCAACAGCCTCTCAGTCGCAGTTTGCCTTTATCTCCAAAAGCCACACAATACATCATGACCAGGCTACCCACAGGGTACCTAACAGTCGTGTCATAGCACACAGTCTCTGCAGGCAAGATCTTCACTGACATCCAACTTTCTCCGGGACCACGGGTATGACATACATGAATGACACCCTCCTCTGAGGACATTCATTTGACATACCCCTCCAGGCCATACAAATATCCATAAAAGAGCTCCCATAAAGGGGATGGGCCATTGCCCCACACATAGTGCACGGCCCTGCCACCTTGGTTAAATTCCTAAAAATCGTTTGGTAACTTAAGGGCTCCTCCATTCCTGACACTGTCAATACAGAGCTACTGACCCTCTCAGCACCCCCAAGTCCAACATCTTTTAGTCCTTTTTGGGTTCTGGAAGCAACATATTCCTCATTTACATTTTTTACTTAATTTCATTGATACTGTTACTTGCAAATCAGCCCACCATAAATTTGGCCTTCTCCAACAAAAGTCTACAAAAGGCACTCACATTAGTACCCCTAGAGACTCCTTCACTGTAGGGGTTTTAGCCACCTCTTCATATTCCTCCTCAAGTCTCTGGATCGCCTAGGACAGCTATAAGTTGTCCATATGCTTCTGATGCAAGAAACTACCCTTCTAGGCCCTTCTCTATACACCATTAGAGCAGCAACTGCTGGCCACATCCTGGGCTCTCCTGGAAACAGAAGCTCTCACTGACCCCAAGCTTGTGAGCCTCCATACCCTGCTACCCGTTATGCTTTGGATCATGGAAGCAGTACCATACAAACCCGACATGGCTACTGAGGCCTTCTTGCTACTGGATGGAGCTATACCCAGGCCTTCTGGCATATTCCACCTGCAGGAGGGGGTGGCCTCCTCTATCCTCAGTCCCTTGCCAGACGCCATGGTGCTAGAAGAGGTCACCTCTCTCCCAGATTCCTAGGTTACCTCGGGAGCCCTGTCAGATCAACTGAGTGAACAGCAATAGGAGTTTGTAGACTTTACAGATGATATCACCACCATACACGATGGAGCTCAGTGGATTGCTGCTGCTTTCCATCTGTTCACCAGGATGTCCCTGATAGAGGATGGCACCCAAGGGTCAGCACAACTGGCCCATCATCTTAGTGCTGGATGGCCTGGCCAACAAATGGCCGCATCTGCATATTTTTTTTAATAAACTCTTGGACCATTGCCTAAGAGTTGCCCACTTTGGGGTAAAGAACTCTGGGAATCTCTTGCCTCACAGATGAACAAAATATAAATCAAGGCAATAGATGTCTCTACATACAGTACAGCCACAATATAAGGCCTCACTAGAACACTCTCTATCCCCTTTGGAGTTCCAGACATTACTGATAGTGACCAAGACATCCATTTCACTTCTCAGAATACACAATCCTGGGCTCTAAAAGAAGACATTCAATGGAACTTCCACCTACTCTATAGGAAGCAGGTTTAACCAAGAGGTATAACAGGCTCCTCACAGAATTCCTATTTAAGTTACAAAGTGCAAATAGACCCCTTGCCTGGTGTCACTCTTGCCATAGGCATTGAGTAATCTAAATTCATGCTGTCTGGGGACATGCACTCCCTACACCATGCCACACAGGTTCCTTAATTGCCTTTATTGGCCATAAACGGGGACACCTCTACAGTTCATGTTTTTGATGACCACCTCACCACATGGCCCTCTCTCTCCTGGTCAAGTGTCTATTTTGCTTTTTTGGGAGCCTCTTCTTCTACTTCGTGGAAGTTTCAATTATCACTAAGATTTAAATTGATCCCAAGGCATCATGGAGTCAAAAAATGAAGACTCAATATTATGTGCTGCCTTGACACCTGGTAAAATCAGGAGGGCCTTGAATGGCCTAACTGCACGCTCCCCTGTCCACTCTGCTCCGCGGATAAGTCCCCCAGCTAAACAACGCTCCTTATCAAGGGGACCAGGCACACTTCCTGCTTATCCCTGAGTAGTGGGTTTCAGTTCCCAGGAAGCCCACAGAATTAGTCAGACAAGCCAATAACATCCTACCTCGAGAACCAGGAGGCACCACATCCTCTTGATACAACACTTGTCATCCACAGCGCCTAGTTGCTCACTCTGTTCCCGAGCACAACCCCCAGGTGACCCTGCATAGCGTGCAGTGTCCTCCT